GTGCACGCGCTCCGCTGCTGGCGGCCCGGGTTCGGATCCCGGGCGCGCACCGACGCACTGCTTGTCCGGCCATGCTGAGGCCGCGTCCCACATACAGCAACTAGAAGGACGTGCAACTACGACATACAACTATCTACTGGGGCTTTGGGGAAAAATAAGTAAATAAATAAAATTATAAAAAAGAAAAAAAAAAGAAAATGAATGCTGTTTCCAATCAGACCCCACTAATTAGAAACACACAGACACACACTCCAAATCTGGGTATGGATTTGAAACCTGGCTGCTTCTTAAAATGGGAAATCCTTAGGTGAATAGTGGCAGGGATTTCTATTTTTAAGGATGGTGATGGACTCTTAGAGAAGATGGAAAGACAAACTAATAACCAGTAATTATGCTTGTTGTTTTTCCATAGTGCATGTAATTTTATGTTTTAGAAGAGAATGCATGCTAGTGTGATGTTTTCATGTGAAGTAACTCCTGTGGAACACTGCTGACCCGAGGAACGGCACATGGGAAGGACTGGCTTATGTCCTTCCTCCCCGGGAGGAAAGTGGCACAGAAAACCCCCAAGTGGATCATTAGTTCTGGCAGATATATTTCGCTCTGGACTTTCCACTTTTTATCATTTGTACTTTGAGAATCCATAACACCTCAAAGAGACACGTGAATTGATCTGTAAGTTTGTAATTTATGCAAACCTGAAATTTTCAGTATCAGTGAAATCCTCAAGTTTAACCTGCTCCACACTCCATAAAGGAATAGATTGTTTAACATTTCAAGTTAATCTAAACTACAGCCTGAAATGAGTTGTTCCTTCAGCCTCTTGTCACCCTTGTGACATTGAAGCCTCCATTGGATGAAGAATGGCCTTAATTTGACAAACAAGGACTTTCAATTCAATGACTATTGGCCTAGATTTATTAAAATACTCCATATATTCAAAAGAAAATTACAGAGAAGGATATGTAAAATATGTAGGGAATTTACAAACAAAAATTTCCTCAGATAATCAGTGGAGGAGTAATTGTCCTTTATCAGTTGGGAGCGACCTGCATTGGAGCTGGGAGAAGACCAAGAGCTTCACCACTGGCAGCCTGAACCCGCCTCCCGCTCACAGCAGTGGACACGCTGTTACTGGGAAAATCAGAACATAAGTGACCAGGAGGTAACTCTCTTTCTTTCTTTCCATTCCCCCTACAGATCAAAGAAATACACTTTTAATTTTTTTTCTTTGTGTTTGTGCTTGTGAGTGAATGTGTGTGACAAGCTGTGATGGAAACTGTGAGTGTTAGTTTGCTGGGACAACCACAACAAAACACCATGGACTGGAAGGTTTAAACAACAGAAGTTCATTTCTCACAGTTCTGAAGGACAGAAGTCCTAGACCAAGGTGCCATTAGGGTTGGTCCGTCCTTTGCTTGCAGGCAGCAGCCCTCTCTCTGTGTCCTCACATGCTCTCCTCTATGGGTGCGTGTCCCAGGTGTCTCTCTGTGAGTCAGAATCTCCTCTTTTTATATGAACATCAGTCGGATTGGATTAGGGTCCACCCTAACGGCCTCATTTCAACTTCATCACCTCTTTAAAGATCCTACTTCCAAATACAGTCACATTATAAAGTACTGTGGGGTTAAGGCTTCAACATATGCATTTTGGGGGACAAAATTCAGCCCATAACACTGTGATTTGATGTTCAATGTCTTAAGAGAAAAATATTCACTTGTTAGTTCTTTTTTTTCTTTATTGAAGAATGATTGACAAATAAACATAGTATATATTTAATGTGTACGATGTTATGTTTTGATATACATACACATTGTGAAATGATGCCCCCAGTCAGGCTAATTAACCTATCTGTTACCTCACATATTTACCTTTTGTATGTGTGTGTGAGGTGAGAATATTTAAGATTTACACTCTTAGCAGATTTCAAGTACACAGTACAGGATTGTTAACTATAGTTGCCATGCTGTACATTACTTCCCCAGAACTTATTCATCTTACAGCTGAAAGCTTGTGTGCTTAGACTTCAATTAGCTCTGATGAGATCTAAGCCTCCTATTTATACAAGCAATACAGGAAGGATGACGTCACAGAGGCCACCTCTCAGCCTAGCATGTCACCTCTTACATTCCTTTCAGACACACAGCCATCCTCAGTACTTGAAGAAATGAACTTTACATAGACAGATGCATGATATGTGTGTGCACAGGTGCATACACTCACACACACAAACACACCTATTATGTTTGCCTGGCCCCTTCGCCAAAATGCAGAGTTCAGTATCTGACTATGATTCAGTCTGTCTATAGAACACCAAAAACACTTTTCTCACGCAACAAACCCTGTCAGAGCACCTCGGTGCTTTGGCAAAAACAAAAGCAGGACACCACTTGGCTCAGTTAATTATTTGATTGCTTTGCCTAACTGACAGAAGTTCTTATTGAATTAACTGAGGTTTAAAGTAAGAATGCTGAGGAATCTCCATAGTCCCAGGTCCCATAGTGTTTTCCATAGTGGCTGTATCAGCTTACATTCCCACCAACAATGCACAGGGTTCCCTTTTCTCCACATCCTCACCAACACTTATTATCTCTTGTCTTTCTGATAACAGCCGTTCTAACAGTTGCCAGGTGCTATCTCATTGTGGTTTCGATGTGCATTTCCCTGATGGTTAGTGATGTTGAGCACTTTTTCGTGTACCTGTCAGCCAATGCCTGCATTTTCATGTCCATTGCAGCAATAACCACAATATTTACAATAACCAAGATACGGAAACAACCTAAGTGTCTGTCGACAAATAGATGGATAAAGAAAATGTGGTGTATATATACAATGGAATATTATTCAGCTATAAAAGAGAAGGAAATCCCGCCATTTGCGACAACATGGGAGAAACTGGAGAGCATTGTGCTAAGTGAAATAAGCAAGCCAGAGAAAAACAAATATTCCATGATCTCACGTATATGTGGAGTCTAAAAAAATCCCCACAAGTTCCAGATGAGAATAAATTAAGCTAATTATAAAATTCTTCAACATGAAATAATAATAATAATAATGACTATTATCAACCAAACAATTTTCGGTAGAAGAAAACTTTTCTTCTATCTTCTTAAGTTCAGTAACTAGGGGCCTATGAATTAAACTGACAACAGACAGATTAACAGGAGAAAAGGCATACAAATTTATTAATTTTTAGTTTTACATGCATGAGGGCATGTAAGAAAGAAAGTGAATATTCAAAGGAGTGGTGAGATATTAGAGCTTATACACCACCCTAACATGAGAAAGGCAGGGGACAAAAGCCACTTATGGGAGAGCAATGATATTTAAGAAAGATAAATGGGCCCTGAGGAGAATAGCTGGAGATACGAAAGTTGGTGGCAGTCTTTCTGGGTGTGGTGCTGACTTCTCCACTCCTCTCCTGTGATGAGTCAATTTTCCTTGTGGATGCAACTCCCAGGGAGGGGATTTACGACAATTGAGTTCTTTTGGTTAGCCATTGGTGGTGGAATTAAAGTCTTGTCCTTTTCCAGATCAATTCATGCTAGTGTGGGCCGAGGGGGAGTTCAAGAGGCTGAGAAAACTGGAGAACTTTCGTGTTACCACATCTCCATCGTTCAGCGGCCCCCAGTGGGGCCCTACTTAGTTGAGCATTTGGGGACTGATGAGTTTGTGAGAAATCAGAACGAGAGAAAGACTGGTTTATTGCAGTGGTTCCCAAATTTTAGCAACAGGAGGACCCCACCCCCAGAGCCTAATTCAGTAGGTGTGAGTTGGGACCTGGGAATCTGCATTTCTAGCAAGTTCTCTGGTAGCGATGATGCCGTTGGTCTGGGACCCTGGTCCAACGCCTCGCTACTCAAAGGACCAGTGGAGTGACACCACCTGGAAGCTTGTTAGAAAGCAGAATGCTGAGCCCAGTTTGACAAAATCGGACCTGCATTTAGCAGGGTGCTCAGAGCACGGGTACAGACGAGGAAAGTGAGGAAGCTGGCTTTGATGCTCAGGTCCTCCAACACGATTCGGTAAACCTCACGCCCAGCACGCGGTGAGCGATCCTCTGCCTCTAGTACGTTTACTCACGCTTACGGCTGAAACGTAAAACAGTAATACAAAATTCAGAATTAATTACAAGGCACTTGAGACTGTGAGCTCTGCCGCTGGGTAGCAGTAACTTAAACTTCCTCGGCCTTGGTATCCTCATTCGGAAAAAAAAAAAAAGAATTGGAGTCGACGAGCCTGCGGTTTCTGAATTCAGCAAATCAGTTTCACGTGGGATGAAAGCGAAGCCGACCAGCGCCTGCTCCTCGGGCCATCGCGCGGGACGCCGGCTGAAGAGCCACTGCGCCCCCCGGCGACGGCGCAGCGCGGTCACCGCCGCCCGGAGCTGTCCCCGCGCCCCCGTGCCGCTCCGGGGCGGTGGGAGGCGGCCCGTCCGCTCCGCCCAGCGCCTGCCCGGCCTCCCGCGGCGCCGGCACCTGCTGTTGCAGCTGCGTCCCCTCTCCCATCCTGCTTTCCGAGGCATCAGACCTCTGAGGAAGGGACATTTACGTTTCATTTGATTTTTACAACCAGAGGAACAAATAATAATTTTATTCCTAACTTTGCTCTTTTCTTTTCCTCACAAGAGACTTTCTCCCTGTGTGTTTGGAAGAGAACAAAATATTGGGAGTCTTGAAATCTCAGATTTCTGAGGAATTGGAAAGTCACTGCCTGTCTGGCCTGCAATCCGGGAACTTCCTTGAAGGCGAAGTGAACTTGCAAGTTAGACTCATTCTCTCCGTTGCATCCTGACTATGCACGCACACACGCATGCACGCACACACTTCCACCCAGGCACACACACACATGCGCGCACACACACATATGCACACAGGCGCGCACACACGCCTTTCTTCCCCTCCCCTTCAGAACAGTTCCTGCTGTCTCTACCACGCCCGTCCCACGGCAGCTCGTGGTTGGCGAGGGCCCAGGCCAGTGGTCAGATGCCGCGGCCTGCCTCCTATCATGCCCATCGTTGCTTTGGTCAAGACGGCCCAAAGTGGAGTGAAACGCAGGAGCAGAGACATCGAGTCACAGAGAGAGGATGGGAAATTGTCTCCCACGAGAACTCAGGTGAGTCCTGACGCCAGACGCTGCCTTTCCTGGGAGAAAGGGAACGGGGAGCAGAGGGCTGGGCGTGTGCGTTTGTGGGAGAGGGGGCAGTTGTGCATTAGGAAGGTTGAACCTGAGGACGGCATCCTCTAAGAACGCACAGTGGCCCCCAGTTCACTCCTTCTCTTGTCTTACTTTGGAACCATGGTAGGTTGCCAGATTTAGAAAATACAAATACAGGATGCTAAATCAGATTTGAATTTCAGATAAACAAATGCATTTTTTTTTTTTTAGTATAAGTATGCCCTATTACATGGGGCATACTTATACTAAAAAACATTTGTTGTTTATCTGAAATTCAAATTTAACTGTGCATCCTGCATTTTATCCGGCAACCCTTGTCTATAGTCTCTTGAGTCTGTCTATATCTCCCTCCTCATCTGGGCACAAGGCTGATCTCCCCGTTCATCAGCTTCGTGGGGTTGGTATGAGAATAAACAGGTCCTTGAAAATTATGGATGTAAAATAATGCATTCAAATGTTTTTGATTTAAGTGGTGCCTTTTCTTGGTAATTTTTATCCTTTTCCTCTTCAAATGCTTTGGAAGTTGTAGGACAGATATAGATGACGGGCATTTTTCTTCTCACAACTTGCTTAAAGGATTGTCTCTATAGCACCCCACACCCCCATCCCACTCTCCCTAACTCCTTCCAGGCAGTCTTATATTATATTATATTACTAGATTTCTTAAATTGAGATATAGTTGATATGTAGCATTGTGTAAGTTTAAGGTGTACAACGTGTTGATCTGATACATTTATATACTGCAATATGATTACCATTGTAGCATCAGCTAACTCCTCTATCACATCACATAATTATAATTTCTTTCTTGTGGTGGGAACAATTAAGATCTAGCTTCTCAGCAACTTTGAAGTTTATAATACAGTATTGTTGACTATAATCACTATGTTGTACATTAGCTCTCCAGGACTTATTTATCTACCAGGTGCAAGTTTGTATCCTTAACCAAATCTGTCCTCTGGTAACTACCCCACCCTCTGGTAATTACCATTTTACTCTCTGTTCGGCTTTTTCAGACTCCACAGGATGTCTTTCTTTCTCATGGCTGAATAACATTCCATTGTGTTTATGTGTATGTGTATATATATTTGTATTATACACAAAATATCTTTTTTATCCACTCATCACTGATGGACACAGGTTCTTTGTCTTGGGTATTGTGTATAAGCTGCAATGAACACGGGAGTGCAGCTCTCTCTGTGACATCCTGATTTTGATTCTTTTGAATAAATAAACAGAAGTGGGATTGCTGGATCATATGGTTGCTCTATTTTTAATTTTTTGAAGAACCCTCATACTGTCTTCCATAATGCCCGCACCATTTGCATTCCTACCAACAGTGTGCAAAGTTTCCAATTTCTCTCACCCTTGTCAACGTTTGTTATCATTTATTTTTTTGGTAACAGCCATCCTAACAGGTGTGAAGTAATATGTCATTGTGATTTTGATTTTCATTTCCCTGATAATTAGTGATGTTGAGCATCTTTTCATGTACCTGTTGGACATTCGTATGTCTTCATTGGAGATGGAGAGAAAATGACACAACTGTGCCCAAAGAGTTGAATTTAAACATGTGCCCTGTGAAAAACGTTTCCATCTCTTTAAGGTTAATCAATATTAATGGTAAGTCTATATGAAACAGCACTCTTGGCCTCAAGAAGATAATTAAACATAGAGGGGAGACTGCAGTAGATGCTGGTTAAAAAAATGGACAAGTCTTTTCAAGAAACACTGTGCTGTAGCCTTAAAAAAAATTAGAGATTATATAGCTGAGAGAGGACAAAAACTCGTCAAAGTCACTTTTGCTATCAAGTGGTGAAACCACAGTGTAATTTCCTTTTTTAGGATGTACAATGTGATGACTTAGTATATGTATACATTGTGAAATGATTACCAGGGTGTACTTTCCGATGTCGAGTTGTCACCACTTCACCACAGTCTCCTCTTTCTCAGATAGGGCGAACATTTATGTGCTCTAGGTAGAAGCACAAACGATGTGCTGTAGAAACAAGAGGAAGGAAGGGATGGAATTCTGATTTGCAACGGCTGGAAGGAAGGACATTTTGAGGAATTGCTGCTTGGATTGTGCTGCAAACGTTAGGCAGGCTTATCAAAGTCTGAAAAGACTTCCAAACTGAAGGGACAACATGTGAAAACGTATACGAGTGTGAAGTGTACGGTGGTTCAGGAATGACTATTAGTTGTCAATAATTGGAGCATATTGTTCAAAGACAGAGCCATTAGAAGTTGAAAATGCGGTTTGGCATTGACGATAAGGAGTCTTCAAAGACAGAGAGGAAGTAGTAAAGCAGTGGACATTGATGAGTTGGAGAATGACGTAAGGCAACCTATATGTTAGGGAGAAATGTGTATCCTCAGTGTGTAAGGAGAAGAAACGGCAAGGATGAGAACTGGGTGGGACGGGTGGGCCTTGAGGGCACTGTGCTGAATGGATGATGTTATGTCAGCTGAGTCTCTTTCCTGCTTTCCCTCCTCGTGGATATCCTTGAAATCTGTGGTTGTTACAGTAGGTGCATCTGCTTTGTAGCTTCTTCTGCATATTTGCTCATTATCTGCACTCACTTCAGAGCGTTCGTCTGTTGCCACCCTCCCCCCTAAACCCTGCAGTGGAGGTCCTGAACACACTCCATACGCCTTTGGAAGGGGTGCCCTGGGATAGACCCCATTTCTCTTCCAAGAGGCTGCACCTTCCACTCGCCCTTTCCAGAGAGCTTCTGAATCCTCACAAGGTTCCTACACTTGCAGTATTCGTGTTTCCTACATTTGCCGGATATTTGAATGTAAATTAGTGTCCCGTTGCTATTTTCATTTTCATTTCTCTGGTTGCTGGTGACTTTGTGTATCTGTTCGTATGCTTGTTAGGCACTGACGCTTCTTCTTTTACATGTTTACTATTCGAATCCTTTGCTCATTTTTTTCCTGTTTGGTTTCTTGCATTCTTGTTGATTAGCAAGCACCCTTTGAATATTGTAGACTGACCCCTTGAGTATTAGCCATGTTAAAGGAAAAAACAGTCAATGACACTTGTCAGAGATGGTGTTGCAGACTTGATTCAGGACCATCGTGATGGGTGTAGGGACCACTGCAGTGGGAGTCTACAGTGAGGGAACGTTGGGATCCACTCTGAACAGAGCTCGGGAAGCGGGGATTTATAGCTGAGGAGCAGTGGGGATCGGTGGAGGGAAAATTACTAAGAGGAAACATCAAGGGTCAGAGAAGATTCTGGCTAAAATGACCTAGTAAGATGCTGGCTGAAGACAGGCAGGGTGATGAGACATCACCTGAGGGATGGTGGAGGAGGAGGGACCCCATCAGATGTTGAAGGTGATCAGATGCTGAGGGTGGGGTTCTGGATAAACCATCTCTTTAGAAAAACCCAGTCTCCCTGCTGTGTGTCTCCTTTACTCCCACACCACTACCACACTCACAACACTTCTGACACCAGACGTGTGGAGGGCTTTTCCCCACACCAAGCAAGTCTGCGACTCCAACTGGGTGCCCTACAATTCAACTGGATTCTGATACTGCCTACCTGGAGATAGAGTCAGTTCCCACAGGTTAAGTGCTCAGTCCCACAAAACTGCTCCCCCCACTCCTTCAGATACCAATCGCCAGTCCAGGTTGTTACCTGTGCTTCTGACCAACTGGCTCTAAATCTGAGGTTCCCATAGACCCCTCCTCAGATTCGATTAATTTGCTAGAGTGGCTCACAGAACTCAGAGAAACACTTAACGTTTACCAGTTTATTACAAGATATGATAAAGGACACAGATGAGAAGTCAGATGAAGAGACACATGGAGTGAGGTCTGGGAGGGTCCTGAGTGGAGGAGCTTCTGTCCCCGGGGAGTTGTGGGGCGTCACCCTCCCAGCATGAATGTGGTCACCAACCTGGAAGCTCTCTGAATCCCTTACTACTGGGATTTTATGGAGGCTTCTTCATATAGACATGATCAATTATTAACTCCATTTCCAGCCCCTCTCCCCTCTCTGGAGAATTGGGGGTGGGGCTGAAAATTCCAAGCTTCTAATCATGGCTTGGTCTTTCTGGTGACCAGCCCCCATCCAGGAGCCACCCAGGAGCCACCCACGGTCACCTCAGTAGAACAAAAGATGCTCCTGGTGCTCTTCTCACTTAGGAATTTACAAGGGTTTTCGGAGCTCTGTGCCAGGAACAAGAATGAAGACCAGATATATATTTCTTATTATAGATCACATTATCACACTGACCCTGTGTAAAACTGGGTTTTACAAAGAAGTGCACTAATGGGCCTAGGAGAAGTTTCAGGAGCCTGACTAAAATTCTAGTCAAGCAAAGACTATTCATCAGCCGTTGCAAATATCTGTTCTCACCAGGCATCTATGTACTTAATTTTTAGCGGCCAGAAATCCTAAATGTTGATGTAGTCAGATTTGTCAAGGTTTTGCCTCATGGTTTCTGCTTTTAGGGCTTTTAAAATAATTAAATTTCCTTTAATTGATTTCTACATTAAAGTAAAATTTGCATATAGTGAAATGAGCAAATTTTAATTATAACGCTTGTTGAGTTTTAAGGACGTCTATACCCACATGACCAGCCCCCCAACTGTGATACATAACTCTTTCACCATCCCAGCAAGTTCCCACGTGCCCCTTTTCCATCACCACCAAACACTGTTCTGATTTCTAGTCCCATGTTTGTCTTTTTATAAATGGACCCACACACATGTACTCTTTTGTGTCTGTCTTCTTTCACTCAACATTAATATTGGAGAGGTTCTTCCATATTGTTGCTTGCACCAATAGTTCATTGTTTGTTTACTGCTGAACATCCCCAAGTCTGTTTATGTGCAAATACATGAATATGATTACATGCGCTTCTATTGATGGCAGTTGAGTGGCTTCCAGGTTTCTGCTATAATGAATAAAGCCACTATAA